TACTGTACATTGCAAATGCACGTGCAATAGGCTCCATATGTTGATTTACGGTGAGTTATATGTACACATGCAACACCTGAAAGGAAAAATGTCTTCTGAATAATTAACCTCAAACCATCGAAATATATCATGTTATGTTATATATTAAAATATAAACGTCAAAATCGCAACAACAAAAAAAAAAGAAAAAAGAAAAACAGAAAACTTCAGAGCTATCCCCCATTGAGACTTTCTTAAAATAATACTATAGTTTGTATTTATCCCCTTTAGGGTCCTTTAAAGACACTATAGTGCGAGTCAAAATAAGGATAGGATTAGCCTCAACAGCCAGGTCGGCTATTTTCATTAATTAACTACTCTGAAAGAAATCGACACAAAGAATCGTGACTGGTTTAATATTTATTTGTCTTGTAACCCGCGAAATGACACGCCAAAGCGGAACTTCTCATTTTGTCGGGCGTAAATAAGACGCACTGTAAGGTTCAAAGAATATAGAAAGTTCCGCCGCGTTTCCGTCAGAGTGTTTTGGTGACCTCAAAAATGAACGGTACGCCAGCAGAAAACAAGTCGAGCGTAGAATGGTCTCACAACTTCTACTACAGGCCAGGCTTCATATATCCAGTTGCGACGTGTCACATTCTAATAATCGCGGTGGCAGGCGTGGGGAACCTTTTGGTTTTGTACACCATAGTCGCTAACAGAAAACTGCGCAGGAATCCAACGAACATCTTCATATTCTCATTGGCGCTGTCAGATCTTCTCACAGTGACATTAGTTGTGCCATTTGAAGTAGAGGGGCTCTTTCTTCATTGGATCTGGAACCATGGAGAGATCATGTGCAGGGCCTGGATCACATTGTACCTCATCACTGTTCCCGTCTCGATTTTGACTCTTTTGGCCGTCAGCGTGGATCGATACAAGATCCTCAGTGATCCTACTAAACGTTTTCGCCGATGCGGACTCACGACTCGGAAGGAAGGTTTGACTGTAAGTCTCATAATCTGGCTTTACAGTTCACTGATCGCTTCACTTCCCGTAATGGGATGGCGAACAAGTGAGAAGTTCGTTTACAATAGCTGCTGTTATTTTCCCCTCGTTCGGCTCTATTTTATTATCAGCTCTGTCCTGAATTTCATTTTACCAATCCTTGTGACGAGTGGTATTTACCTGAGGATCTGTCTCATAGTCCGCAGTTATCACAAAAAGCTCGGCGCAGATAACAGCAAAAACATGCGCTCCACTGCAGAGAAAAAGATGTATTTGAGGAATATACAAGCTGCTAAGACGCTAGCTTTCTTGGTGGTGGCTTTTTTCTGCTGCTGGTTACTGTACTCCTGTGTCAGCCTTTTCTCTCTCGTTTGCGGAGAAAGCTGTATCGTCTTCATTCCGCCTGAAGTTCGCACGGTGCTGTTAATGATTGGTTACCTGAATTCTGCGCTCAACCCGTTGCTTTTGGCATTTCTCGATAAGAAATTTAGAGCTGCCTTGTCATGTAAAAATATTTCGAATCAAGATCTATAATTCTTCTTTATTTAAAAAGTTTATTGAATAATCATTATTCCATACCGCGCGAGCACATAATCATTTCGTAAAATGTTATTTGTATTTTTAGTCTGTATTGAAGAACATTTATAAAATATTTGTCTTTCGCTACTTTTAGCAAGTTAGCTATTGATATGATAAAGCTGCATGAAATGCTTGGCGTTATCATCATTTTCCGTGCGGCAAACGTTTCCTCTTCCTTTCATTAGTATTGGGTTATTTACCTCTTATTCAGCTATGAATACCTTATGGCAATGGTGAAAGTGAAAGCACAAGTTACAGTATCATCTAGACTGAAAATATAAGTTAAAGATGAATAAGGAAAGAAGAAACACTCTTTAATTGACAATAAAATTCGTTTTTCGGGGAGAGAAATGAAGAAACAAAAGAAACACCTGGCTATTATTATACATCAAGTAACTGCGCATGTGTTCGAAGAGTGACAAGGAATTTATCTTGATAATCCACGTGGCGGTATCATTTGTGGGCAAGTCGAAAGGGCGCGTCCTCAATGGTCTACATCACAATTTCTGCAACAACAACAGAAACTGGAGACCCCGTGGCTGTGCCGTCTAACTGTTTGCAGTGTTTGCCGTTGTACTGAAAGTAAGTTGACGTTAGGCAAAGGTTCAGTTAGTCCATAATGTCGTCTGTCGGTAGCGGTAGTGGATCGGATTGCAACTATTCACTTGACTCTGATGATGACTTCCGCACAGGTTGCCGAAACGTCAGTCACCACCACAAACAACAGTCCTTCTCAGGACTAAACTCACCCGGACGATCACATTACGCTTTCACATTTTACCCCCGAATTCAAACCATTTACTGCACAATTTTAGTTTAACGGTCGAACCTCGATTATCCGGACATCAGTTATCCGGACTTTTCGATTATCCAGACTTTTTCTCTGGTCCCGTTTTTAATTTCATGAATATTAATAAGCTTTGATCGTCAAAACTTTAAGAGGTAAAAAGTTCAAAGATTATGTTTCAAGTCAGGAAAAGTGCGTTGAAAACAGCGCATTTACTTAAAACGACAACATGTCTACGAAGCGAAAGCGATCTGTTCTCTCGATAGGTAACGTAAAGTCTGTTTACGAACCTAGTGGCCCATCAGGCCGGTGCTTAACACCGGTTTCTGTAGCATGAAGCGGCTAAGAGTATTTCTACTCCCCCCTGGATGGGATGCAAGACACAACACAATGTCCCCGCCGGGGCTCGAACCCGGACCTCTCGATCCGGAGTCGAGCGCACCAACCATGAGGCCACCGCGCCTTCTCTCGATAAAGTATAAACAAATAAGTTTTTCACGTTTAGATAAATGAGAAAATGAAACGAATTTAGCGCTTGAATTTGGCATCAGCGAGCAACAGATCTCTGATATAGGCAAGAACAAGGATGAGATCCTGAAATTCATCGACAACATCGAGAAAAGCGTAGGATTGAGGCTTAAGTCGCTGAAGCTTAAATGTACATGATTATAGGTGCAATTCATACATGTACGTGTATTTGTAGTCGTTGAAGCAGACTTTTAGAATTAAAAATTGTGTTATCTTTATTTCTCTTTTGTTCACATTATTGTCTCATTAATATTCATATTTTCGATTATCCAAACTCTAGATTATTCGGACTATTTATCCAAGTCCCAACGAGTCTGAATAAAAAAGGTTTGACAAAGACAACTGGGACAAGGTGAAAAAAGACAAGTAACAAATGATTTCGTAAATGCTGTTCAGTTTTTAATAGGACGCATACCGCAAAATTAAAAACGATCTAATAACCGTCAATGTTTTTCCTTTTTAGTGTTAGTCAGGCCTGAGTGTTAGTATTCAATGTGTTCAGCCATTACAACTGTCAATATTCATCACACATCTTGCCTTTAGTTATTATTGGGAAATAATTAGTTAATAGCTGTTACGAGTTTGGCTAGATCAGAGTGGTTTGTTCTGTTTGTAATTGATTCTTTCTTTGAAACTATTTTATCTTGTAGTTTTCTTGCAATTGTTTTTTGTTCTTTAGGGTCTATTGTCATGACGAAAACACCCCAAACAAAACTATTTAATACTGGGTGGAATTCCACTAGTGATATTCACTAGTTTTCAAATCCTAGATTTTTGTTTAAAAAGTGATCAAAGATGAGAGAGCGTCTTGATGTTGTTACAAAATAAGAAAAAAAGCTGTTTCTGTTTTTCCTTACTGTTCTCCCTGATCGAGACCACTGAGGCGTCAACAGCCCTTACTGCAAACGAGTGAAACACCTTTCAAACCCACGCTTGTTCTTACTCCGACAAAAGCAGGCAAAGGAAGGCCAAGATGACTACGCAAGACGTGGCGAATGACAATCGAAAGAGAGCCGGCTTAGGGACCTGACTGAGAAACCTGAATTGAGGCAGTCATAGATGCAAAGGATAGTAAATTTGGATGGATTACCTTCGCACTAATTACGATACACCTAACGACTGAACTTCAAGAGCGTGACAAGTTAGGTGAAATTTATTCCCAAAATAGGCTCAATGAAGCTCAAGCTTTCTTTTCTTACAATGCCGGAGTATCTTCTGCTCAGACACTAGCAAGAAAATTCCAAAGGCGTGCTCGCGGTTGGCGAAGTCAGTCTCGAATTTTCGTATGATGTATGGATCATGCGTGGGATTTTTTTTTTAAGAGTATCCCAAGTATCCTGATCTTGCCACGCTCGTGTTCCGTCGAAAATCTCAAGATTGTTCTGAAACCGCTGTTTAAGGTACACAAGACAAATCAATTTTGTGCGTGAAACGGGATTAGGATCCCCTCCCTCTTGACAGAATGACAACCTAGGCGCACGAATTTTAGGAAAATTCGTGCGTCACTTACCTTAAACAGCGGTTTATGAAAAATCTTGAGATTTTCATGAAATGAAAGAAAACATTTACGGGCCATGTATATTTCAAGAGCCGGGAAAAATCTCCCCTCCCACTGATGCATATGCGAATCACTCGTCTTTTTGAAAACTTCACGGGTGCCATAACATCTTTTGCCTTAGCCTCGAGTCACGTATTGATCCTTTGCCGCTCCCAGGACGTGCTATCGCCATGAGAAAATGTAAATTTGAGCAAACTTACCAAGAAGTTCAAATTAATGAAGTCAGCTTTTCTGGAAGGTCACACTGCAACAACACGACAGATCTGCAAGCATTGCTACATAACCTCCGCTGTAATACCGAGTGATAAAGTGCAGTGGGTTGTCAATTTAACTCTTATTTCATGTTGTTTGTCTATAAAACTGATAACATCGACAACAGAGGATAGCCATTTTTTAAGCGCGTTTAATTATTGACCTCGATGGAATTCGTGATATTTCACTATCAAAACTTTTCAAAATGGCGCCGATGATGCTAAACTGCGAAGACATCAAATATTCCGTGACTATAGCCCTTGTTACAGGAAAGCAGAACTGAGCTGAATAGCAAATTTTGAATTTTCGGAGAATAAACTCTAGAAGTTTTTGAAATTATTTTATCCTAAACTAACAAATTGAACTTGACGTTTTGATGGTTGGCAATCAGTCACCCAAAAAACTGACGACTAGAACTGCTTTGACCTGTTTTGATGGCTGCTACAGCGTTAGCATAAGAATTTCTCTTTTACGAAATTGATTTCAACATGTAAAATATTACTTAGGACATTACGTTCTAGTGTGATTTTCATTTTGTACCTTGAGTGAGGAATTGAGGCCTCTTACTGTAATCAGTAAAGGTATTGGCTCTTCTTTTTTTGTGTCTTTTTGCATTTGGTTGTCAAATGCGGATTCAAAGCCGAATGAAATAGTGTCACAAAAGGCAAAATGTGCTATTTTCTTTGCTGTTGGGAGACTTTTCTCTCCGTGTGTAAATAAATAACATCTGAGATTTCTTTCTCTGAAACTTAAAGGCGTATTTTGTAACTCTGTGCGTTTCTATGAAACGAGTTGGTTCATAGGTGGTGTAATGCAAACAAAATGGAAATCTGTATTTTGCGAAATCCATATTTTTAATTTCGAAATGAGAAATCCAGAGTAATTTGCGATGACAGTAACTGCAAAAAATATTTCTAGCTTTCCAGTTAAATTTTCGATATGAAAATGTTGGTGGTTACTCATTAGCTGGCGTACAAGAAGATATCGTCGATCTTAAAATGGCTCACTTTGCAACTCTCATCAGCAGTAGTAATGGAAAAATAGCCCCTAAAAAATCATTGTCAGATAACAGACTGGGGGAACTCTTATTGTCTGTGCTAAATGTTGAAAAAAGAAAATGTAAGAAAACTAGCTGTACGACCATCGAAAATCTGACAGTTCCGTTTTCATAGGGGATGGAGTTATTTACTTTGGGAACGTACATACCACTTGAGCGTCAGTTATGCCCGCAAAAAAATCTATTTGGTTTTAATGTCAAAGGTCGATTCAAAATTGAAATTTGTGCTTCTCAGCTTCAGAGAAACCAAGACTTAAAAAAGGGAANAAACCTGGTTGGTTTCTAAGAGCTAGCCGAAGGACTTTTAAGCAAAACTGTCTTTAAAAAATTGAGGTGTTATTGTGGAATAAGTCAAGTGTAAAAGAAAAGTACACCCCAACGCCAGATGTTAACTTAGTAGAGTGTGAAGGTAAACGAGATAGAAACTGTACAAAATAGAACGTTTTAAAGCTAAATGCAATGAGACTGCTTGCACACCCATAGATTCATATATCTCGGCAAAAAAAAATTTTTTGTTCATTTTCTTATAGATTTTGCATTATTATCCTGCAGATCCTCAGAAGACAGAGTAATCTTTACTAATTGAAACTTGGAAGGAAAATTGATCTCTTGTGAATTAAAGGAAGAAAAAGGAGATATTTTCATTTTAGGAAACATTTAGTAGTCTGCCATTTAACAATTGCAGACTTTCATCTCGATTTATTTCTTTTTCATTCAGTCATAATTCCATCGAACAAACCCGTAAGAGATCTAACGGCTTTAACCAAGCAGAAGCGTGGGCTGCTAACTATTTTATTAAAGTCAAGAAGCCGTTTTATTTGATTTACAAAACATGATGCAGCCAAAATCTCTACGAGACCTCGGGACAGTTCAAACTGCAATAGTCCCGCAAAAGATCATTAGTATGCCAGTTTCGTGTTACCAATCATACTCGAGTTCGTTTTATACGTGGTTGTTTCCTCTCGTGACCTTATATCATGATGGAAAAACTTTGCAACTACTAGGAAAAAGAACATACTTAGCTGATCTACATTATTTCAGTTGCTATGAACAACACAGATAAGTAAACCTGCTCTTAGACAACAGAGACAACAAAAACCGAAAAGGATGATATTCCAAACATTACTTAGCTGGGGGAAAAGAAAAGTATTTATCCAGGAACAATAGCCGGTTTTGCGAACTCAAATAGATTCAAGTTTAACTTGAACAAACTGTTCAAAAAGAAAAAAATGAGAATTGTATTGAGAATTCTTTCAGGTACCTGGTAAAACTTCTCTTCAACAAACAATATGATTAGCTATTGTGATAACTATTTATCTGAAAAACGATAGGTCAATGTCAACCATAAATATCGTACAACCTCAAAAGGCTCCCATTTAATGAAATGAGGGAAACAACCATATGATCAAACAATCTTTCTGTAAAGATGTGCAAAACAAGAAAACAACGACAAATATTTAGGCAGATTCACGCAGTTGGACTCGGGCTGAAACCATATAACAGGAGACTCTCCTTGTGGGCAGAATCATTTTCTCACGGACTTTATTGTGAGAAGTTATTTGATCAGAAAAGCTTTGCATGGGAAAGGGTTCAGGACATAACATACAAGGTATATTTCACCTCGTAAATTTCATTCTCTTTGCTGATATATTTTACAACTTAATGCCATTTTTCCCCAACATTCGTTCTTTGTATCCTGTTTGCAGAACAGGGTAGGGGAAGTTTCAATTAAAAATTTTAGGAGAGAAAAAAATTAGGACCTAAAAGTAACTTGAATCGAGTGCATATACAAGTCTTGATATATATATTACAAGAGAAAGTCTAGTGTTATCGAAAAAATACTCTTTGTACCTTGTAATGCGGAAATAATATTATCATGATGCCATTAAGAATAAAATATAGGTTTTGAATTACAGCAGATTCACGCTTTGGTTTCAATCTTCCCGGTAGTATCCAGTAAAGTTTAATACTGCATTTACTCGTATAATCACATATTGGTGGATACTGTGCTTATATGGTTTAGATCAATAAGGTTCTTACTAAGAGAAACTCTCTAAGCTCTCACCCACGAATCTTGCAGGTGTATGACTCAAAAATGTATTAAATGAGCTTCGCTCAGCCATGCAAGATAAGGGAAGTTCGAACACCCTCGAAACCTTTTGGAAACACAATCAAACAAATAAAAAATAAAATCCATGGTAAGTTTGGTTGGCGGTCACTTATTAGGATTCTTTGCTTTGATTCATTCATTTCTCAAGTAAAAAGGACGGTCACCTTACTCAGTTCCCTCAGATGAACGCGGGACGTTGTTGCTCAAGTCCTTGCTGGTAAAAAGTTAAACGCAATAAAATTACGGTGGCAACGCAACAATTTTGCCCCAACAACTTGAAACGTGAAACAATAATTCAAGAAAGTTCCAAAGCTTTGCTATACGAATCTGCTTTTCCCACTCAGAATGAAGTTAAAATCGTCGATTTGCATGTAGTGGTTGCCAATCATTTCATTAATGTCAACGTTTTCACTCTTTCGATAGAAATGACTCCACGTTTCCTGGGACTGATCTTCTTTTTGTCATGCACAAGTCGTGTATGTTACGCTGACGTCCTTAACGATGTAGCAGATACAATCGAAGATGCTGACAAGAAGCTTACCGCAGAGTTAAAAACATTCCGGAACATTTTGGGTGCATTATCCCACCAGGTAATGCTGCAGCAGCTGTTGGCTGAAGAACGCATCAGATCTGATGGCGACTCTGGCGTGAAGCAAGTACGTCTCGGGCACGACGGCACACGAAATTACTACTCGGAAACGCACGGATTTTCTAACAGGCTGCTGGCAATTCACGAACACGCCAATAACATTCGCACAGTGGGCTTGGGAGAATTTGTTGGTGTTCTTAACGGAGTGGAATTCAGGACCAGGCACAATGATTACCGTCTCTTCATGCCCAATACCACGAGCAGAGACTACCATGCTATTGAAGAAATTCCCTTTCCAAAAGTGCCCCCACAAGTAAAAAATAAAGGCAGTGTAGACAAACAGGTCGTTGAGATGCGTAAATGGTTCAAGGCGTGGAAAGATCAAGATCATACAGTAAGAGATTACAGAAAGTACTTCAAGCCAGTACTCTGTTACTTGGAGGGAGCATGGAGCACTGCAACCGAGGATATTGACGAACCTTTCGAGAGCGACCGGCATTTCATTGACGCAACATCCTGGTTTGACTTACAAGAGAAAGTTCGCTTTACCTCTTACACCGGAAGAAAAGACAATATGGAGAACTTTTCCTTTCTGCCAACTACAATTATAGATATAATAAATGGCACTATCCCCGTCTTTGCTCAATGGAATTATCGGATTCTGTGTCACCCCTTAAGTCGAGACGTCCCACTGAACAGGTTTCGCATGGTTGATGAGCTGCATTCAAGACTTCCTGCCGAGCGGAAATATGAAGAGCAGACAAATACCAGAGCAGCAAGATTCCAACTCAATCCCAAAGACTCCGACAAGTGGTCCGACGGTTTCAATAATAATCCTAGATTTACTTTGCTTGATGAACTCATGGGAGAGATTCCTGGAAAGGACAACTACCCAGGCGATCTAACTGATAACGCATTTAACCTGCCTGCCCAGAGTATGAATCCCAAGAAACCAGGAAAACTGAACGCTGCTTACTACCATCGACTTTTCAAAGTGCTGGAAAGAGACGCCATGGGACAGGCAATACGGCACCGTGGTTATTCAGATGTAAACCTGTACGTGGCCATGAACAGTCAACCAAAAGTAGCCGGTATGAAACTGAAAACTTGCAAAGGACCAAAGAACAAACCACGTTGCAAAACGGTCTCTCAGAAGTACTCATACGCCATTCCACTAGAAATAATATACATGACGCCCCTGAACAGTTGGAATCCATTCAAGCTTGAGTACAAAGGCTCAGAGAGGGAGCCATACGGAAAAACAGTGTTTCAAGGCGGTCGCTCTGGAGGCAGAACTCCTGATAAGGCTTACAATGGTACCAATAGTAAGAAGTATTACCAGACACCATCTGCATTTTACACAGGGCAGGAGATCAGCACTGATTCTGCAGATACAGCCAAAAACAGCGTTGGTGTGTTGGACAGGGATGGCAAAACCGTAAGGATCTGTCGAGCTAGTGGAACTCGGATCTTCTTACCAGATATAGACGGTGTTGGCGTCTTGCGTCAACGTTATCCCATCATGCCTGTTCACGGAGAGGGAAGCGCCATGTGGAAAGAACTTGAAGCAACGAAAGATCTCCTCATGAAATCACAATCCTATGGCTATCTCTATAGAGAACCAATTGCAGGCTCTGGTGTTTTGCCAACAGCACCTACAGACAGACCACTCACACTTCGAATGGCAGACGCTACAAAGACTCCCCCAGGTCCTCATCAACATGAAATAACTTTAAAAGCTCAAGAGGTGAAAGATGCAAAGACCGGAAGAAAGCCTTCTTTTAGAAAGCTGACGACGACAGGAGCTGGACACCAACATAACATTGTTGTTGCCTGGAGAAACAACAATTGGGAGATACGACAGTGCGATAAATTCGATAATGAAGAGTACAAATGCCGTGACCAACATGGCATATACCTAAGTGAAGATAAAAGCGTGTAGTAGTTTGAAACACCATTAACCTCTCACGAGGAGGCCCCAGATGATTGTTTGCGAAAGCTGTGATTTTTGCCCTGATGAAATATCCCAAAAGTCAGTGGCAGTGTATGAATTATATTTGAGGATCAAAATAATAAAAAAGTGGAAATAGAAGTTTAACAAGTGAGTCCGATAGTGTCTTCTTTTTAATTTAAAAGTGTAGGAAACAGATCAAAAGTTATCGCCACATAGCATGAATTTCCTAGCCATTAACAAAAAGAAATATCCATCCATTCAATTCCCTCCTGAAAACCGTCCATTTATCCGTCCGTCCATCCGTCAGGTTAGTCCTAATCGCGATAACAGACAAACGGAAAAAATATTTTAAAATGAATCTTTTTTTTTTTTTTTTTATGTATTGTTGACTAAACACTCGAAGCTAAAGCTTTGCCGTGAACACGCATTTACAAGGGAAAGATTGGGCACGACATAGTAATATGGAATTCGATTATCCCAACCACCATCTACCAAAGACCCCTTCAGAGAACGCGGAAATTAAAAAGGAGAAGAAACCAAAACAAAGCAAAAAAGACAAATAAGTGAAGTTAAAAATTTATTGATATCAACGCTGTACAAGTCTTATAAACAATATTACCAAGATTCGTCAAACACACGAGCATAATGATGACCAAGTTTTTCAATGTTATTCACAAAGATCGCCTTAACCACTTCCTTCTGAGTTTTGAAGGCTGTTCCTGAAAAAAAAAACCATACCCCATTAATCAGCGGGTTAGAGCTACGATCGCTTGTAGAGCTCAGCGCAATCCTGGTGACATTTAGAGCCCTAACTCAGCTCGTTACGTAATGTTCCGAAGCACTCTTCTTGGTAACGAGAAGTATAACAAAACTAGACATCTTGACTTCACAAAAGAATGATGTCACTCGAAATGACTCGCAGTGGTGTGCTATTTCCTTGTACAAAAGTGTTACAAACGAAGTTAGAGAGACCTTCCCGTGACTTTTCTCCTCTTCCCCTTTTTTATTACAGGACAAGAAAAATTAAGATACTAAAATTATTAGCAAAATATAGCAAAATTATAGACCTTCCCGTGACTTTTCTCCTCTTACCCTCTTTTATTACAGGACAATAAAAATTAAGATACTAAAATTATTCCTATTTATTACAAAGCTTTCTGCTTCACAAAGCGGCACAACAGGCGCATAAAGTAAACATAATGAGGTTTAGATATCACGATTCCAAGGTAAAAGTAAAAGGAGATACATCCGAAATGCGAGAGAATAGGAATTGTGAATCCCACTGAAATAAGAAGTTTTATTACCTTGCTGCCACCTTTGCCGAGTAGCTTCTGGTGTCATGGCAGAACTTGGAGGAGGAAATTCCTTTTAAAAGGAAATACAACATCATTGTAGGGAATATGAAATCAGAACCGTACTTCGCCTTATTTTGTCGAATAAAAGTTTTCATGTCTCTGGATATGCATGTGGTTGATATGATTTTAATGTACAATGCCACCTTTGCCGAGTAGCTTCTGGTGTCATGGCAGAACTTGGAGGAGGAAATTCCTTTTAAAAGGAAATACAACATCCTTGTAGGGAATATGAAATCAGAACCGTACTTCGCCTTATTTTGTCGAATAAAAGTTTTCATGTCTCTGGATATGCATATGGTTGATATGATTTTAATCTAACATTTAAATACCAAAAGTTGGCTGTAACCCACGCATCTGTGAAAATTTATCAAGAAATTATCCATCGTCAAAACACTTTTACAACGTCGTACAACATGCCTTTAATTTGAGAGCTGTGACAAAGTCGTTAATCGAAATTTGAAATAGTACACCATGGCAGAAAGACAACTATACACTGCTAGGTGCTTACCTTAAGAACTTTCCACATGGTGTTGAGTATGGTATAAATTTCCTTTGGCTTCAGGAGACCAAATACAGCACCAACCCTACTGAGCGGGGGAGGCAACCAACTTGCCTTCAAAAAGAAATCAACGTTACTGACCAGCAAAGTTTTTCCTTTTCAAACGGAGGAGACTCGGGCTTATGTCTCCACACATGAGATATGTTCATTTCTTCGTAATGACTCTCAGTGTAACAAAAATTGAGTGATTACTTAAAACTCTTATAAGAGCGGTATGGAAAATTCAGTTTTTGTCTTTTCAAACCCAAACTTACAAAATGAAACTGAATGACGAGGACCATTCTCGAACTATTTTGTTTTAAAATGGAATAAAAATCCAGAAATGAGCAAAATGAAAGGAAACTTCTTGTTGTCGACGAGAAACAGCTTCTCAACTTACTTTCACTTATTTCATAGGATTCGCAATGTGACTACAGCCTACACATGGCTTCTCTATATAACTCACCTTTGTCATAATGTCTGTTATGAAACACGTGACTTTAAAATTCAACGAAGATTGGTCAACTGTCGAGCCTCTGTATACTTCCCAGGTGGACATGACAGTTGCTAGTAGACTGGAAACTAAAGGGCTGCATTTGGAAAGTGATGAGACACCTGATAAGGTGAAATGACACAAAATTATGAGAAATATCGGCCCTTTCTTTGCCATGATACCATTTGATACCATTTGATACCATTTGATTTAAGTGGATGATAACACAGTAAGCTTCAGCTTTAGCTATGAGCTGTGCAGTTCGTTAAAAGGCAAGCGAGAGCAGAAATAAACCAATTTGGGTTATCGTCACTTAAAGCTTAAAAATTAATGGTTAACCCTTTCACTGCCAAGATTGTTAATTTTCACCTTTAGCTGTTACACATTTCCTTGTATATTAGTAATGAGAATTTGGTGTTAGATCACGATAACAAGTTCTACCTGATAAGTTTGAGTATTCTCGTCACCTGTTTGCTGAATAATGTATGGATATTATAGGGAGAAGTTTCAAGTTAATCACTTCTAGGAGTTACAGGGTTAAGTGTTCTTGGACGATGTACTGCGGTTCGCTAAAGGCCATGAATTCAATGATGACTAGATATCTGGGTAACATACCCATACATACATACGACGGAACAAATCTAAAAAACCGAACACTCAATCAATCCATTGGTGCTAGATAGAGAACCCATTTTATGCCTTTTTTTTTTTCGTACTGATATAGCATGTTCCGTTTTAACTCTTGCACAATTCATGAACTTTACACCTTCGTGATGTTTCTAAGATCTAAACACAACCACAACAAGCATATAAAAATCAATGACTAAAAATATTCCAAAATAAGATAACCACATACCTCTTGCTACAATGCTCACAAGAGCCCACAGGATTGGATTCTCGTCAAATGTTTTCTTTATCCGTAAGTCGCTGTAACAAAACATCAGAGCAAGTGTGTTTGGATAGTTTTCTTAGTGTTCTCGAAAGACAATAAACATTGTCCACATATTACCATGAAATGCGTAAATTCTCGTTTTAAGCACACATAGTCATTTTCCACACTAACATAAAGCGCTGCATTCCCAAATCATGTTACTCGATTTCCACATCTGAAGATTGAAAGGCCGTTATTGTCACTACCCTGAAATTTTCAGCTCTAATACAACAGCTCTAATACCTCTTGCAAGGTAAATATTTTGAAAGAAGAACTCAATATACACATGTTGGAAGGATGCTTATCGAGTTCAGAAATCAGAAAAACGATACCCAGGGTCGTGTGTCAAAAACAGCGTAAATAACAAAGGATCATGCCCCGGTAAACTTTTCCTGATATCCCAGGGATGCGCTTCATGCTTATGTCAACCTAGCTACCGTTCTATTGTAAACTTGAGACTTTCATCATCTGGCCAGTCAAAGCTAATGGGTACAACATCTGGACAGACGAGCTCCATGAGCAGCAGTGATAATGAATCCACATATTTATGATGAAGAGTAAGATTAGAATTGTCTGTATCTTCCTGGTCACATGTGCACAGCATGAACACAACATCCACAAACACTTGACTCGTCCGCTGCCATACTTGCGCCTGAAAAAATTAATAACTACGTTTATTTCAAATTGATCCTCCCATTCCTTGTTAGCAATAGAACAAACAAGCGCTCAATTTCACCCCGCAATTATTGGACGATGATAAAATAAAAAAATCAATTTATGACAAAATAGGAAAAGAGAGACAAGAGTCGCTGAACACAGGAAAGGTCAGGTGCAAAAACAAAACAACAAAAGGGAAGCATTTGCTCAAGCAAGACAGCTCGTCCTTAGTTGGTTTATTTTAATGTTAGAAGATTTTTTTTTTTTAATCTATAAAAGATCGTTATTTTTCCTCGACTCAACCACATCATCACAACTTAAGTCTATGTTTTCTAATTCAGAATGCTATTACCAGCACTCAAACACTTTCCATCATTTCACGAAAATTTCTTCATAGAATTAAAGATAATAAAAAAAATATATTAAACAAGGGTAAAGTAAGTATTTTACCTCAGGTGCATTTGTTCTGTTGTTTTTCTCAATGTTACCCACAATTCCACTGAAGAAAACCGACGATGGAGTTAAAGGTAGGTGCGAGGAGATATGAGGGTTTCTGTTTCTCTCCAATAATGACACGTTGATCTTCGTCAAGTCCTTCTCGGAGTCACTTGGTTCAGCTTTCAAGAAAAATTAATCAATCACTAAGTAGGCACAAGAGCATACATGTAGGACAACATTAACTGAGAAAAATTCCAAATTCATTCTGACCATAATTCCATAATTATTATAGGAGATAAATGCCCATGGTACTCTAGGGCTCTGCTGGTGTCTAACAAGCCTCAGACGGACTACCTGTCTCTCATGGCTGACAAATCTCTGCAACGCAACTATGGCCCCCCATTTCAGTGAACTGAATTTTACAAAATTTTATTGTAACACACGTAAATGAATCCATATCAACCTACAGTAACAGAAGAATTAACAGATAGAATAATGCTGAGAATAGCTCTCTATGGTTTCTGATGGTCCACATCCAAGTTGACCAGGTGACACTCAACATTAAAAGATAGATGGAAGCAAAACCCATGAAAAACCCTGGCCTATAGACATCAACCACATCCTTAACAGTGCAAAGTCTGAGCAGCATGAACTGAGAGTTCTAAAGCTTGCTTGATCATCATACTCTAACTAACCTGGTAAAATCCCACCAAACAAGGAAACATGCTCCTGTTAAGAACAAAATGACATGAAATTAAACAACTACCGAGATATGAAAATATCAAATGCACAAATGTATTCTTTCCCACATCTAGTTAAATTTAGAGACTGAACTGGTGCTGTTTATGTTTCCAACTCTTTTCCTTCATTTTTGCTACCTTTTTAAGTGTTCCCTCCACCAGAAGTCTCATCAAATAAAGTCTGCATCTGTCATCTTTGGAGAGAAGAAGAACCATCTCTCTGCAAAGTTTGATTGACTTCACTGTTTCTGCAGGAAACAAATTGAAAACTTTTCAATCAAATGGTGATTAGATCTGATGAATATATGAAGTTCATATATTTTGAACTTCATATATTCATCATATCTGATTTATCATCACGGGTTTATTACGAATCAACTTAACGGCCTGCTCCCAGTTGGCTTGTTAGCTCAATTGGTAGAGCGCTGCACTGGTATCGCAGAGGTCAGTGGTTCGAATCCCCTACAGGCCTGATTTTTTTTTTTCAGGTCTGATTTTCGCTATTGCATAAATAGCGCTCTCTACTGCGAGGATCGTGCATCATACGCAAATGGTGATTGATTGATTAATAGGCTCAGTGCAAAAGAGTCGCTTCAAAAGTGCTCCAAGGTTACTGAATTCTTGCAAGTGACTTCACTTACTGGTTTTTAATGAAATAAACAGCCCCCAAAAAAAGAAAAAACCATTGTGTTCTTGTATGGTGGTGTTCTTTGCCCCAGTTCTTTTCATGCAGTTAAGATACAAGGCTGTCTACAGGTAAAGTATCCATCCTGTTCCATTTAAGAATGGGGAGGCAATGAATATTTGCAAGGAAATTGGATGTCTTCCTGAAAATTAGGCCTTTTTTTAGAAGGAGTGCAAACCAGCAGGAAAAAATTCTGGCCTATGTTTAAAGTCATTTGTGCAATTTACAAAAATATCTCACTGCAACAAAATGATACTGTAGTAAGCTGAAATTCTTTCTTCCTCTGAACCTTAATATAAAGTACACTAGTCAGACACACAAACCATGCCGAGAATTGATCATCCAAAAAAATAACAGGGTCTCACCACGAATGTTTCCATCTTGTTTTTTCAGTTTGTGTAACAACTTGTAGAACAGCCCCACACAGTTACTACAAATTTTCATTATGTTAGAGACTTTGTCTGACATAATTTTGTCCAATGACAGAAGAAGCTCCAGAGACTTTAACGAGACCTCCAAGTTTGGATGAATCAGTAAATTAGTCAGGAGGCTGTGATGTCTTTGAAGTGATGCACACATCTTTGACCTGCATTGCTTGGAGATTATAATATTTGAGGTTCATTAACCAAACTTTTCATTTAAAAAATTAATTACTCCCTGAAATATAATTTTCTTGCTGAAATACAGAAACAACAGGTCTCTCCTAAAAAAGCTTCAGGGAAACACATTACTCAGAAATGTATTGAACATACTTTACTCTGAATGGAATGGTCTGGGTTTGAGTCCCAGCTGGGTCAATGGAATGGTCTGGGTTTGAGTCCCAGCTGGGTCAATGGAATGGTCTGGGTTTGAGTCCCAGCTGGGTTAATGGAATGGTCTGGGTTTGAGTCCCAGCTGGGTTGATGGAATGGTCTCGGTTTGAGTCCCAGCTGGGTCAATGGAATGGTCTGGGTTTGAATCCCAGCTGGGTCAAAGGAATGGTCTGGGTTTGAGTCCCAGCTGGGTCAATGTGTTCTGTTCTTAGGCAAGTCTCTCCCCTTCCCACCCCATAGTATACTAGCAAGAGTATAGATTGGTTCCAGTGTACAGTCACAAAAAAACCTGAAGAGGGGTGATTTTCCTTTCTTACAAGCCTGCCTTACTTGAGTTTAGCAGCAATGGTTTAGACTTGTTCCATCACATACCTTGGCAGATTTTCACTTTTGCTCCCAATGGAAATCAATTCATGAAAATTTCTCAACAAAGCCAGCAACTTAAAAGGAATGACATAAAAATATGATTACAACTTGTCTTTATTGATGTATTCACGCTTATTTTTTCAAAAATTCATTCAGCTTTTCTGTAATTTATCTGGCTTGAAGTTATGTTCCAGTTTGGTTGAACACTGATTTTCATTAGTTAAGCCATGTTTTTCCAACAACAAAACAAAAGAAATTCTGAAATATACTTGGTATATTCCTTGTGTTGCTTTTTATTCATTTACCTTAAATTGTTTATTAACCTTTGATAGTCAAGCAAAAATAGTCTAATAAATTTGAAAGACAAATATAACTACTTGGAAAATGCACTGTCCTATAAATAATGCTGAAATTTCACCATTTTTTGTCCAATAGTGCAACAACTATCAAAACCCACTTTGAATTCATATTTGTTCTCCCTTTAAAATACTGGATGCAACTTCAGAAACTGACTTGGTTGAAAAAAAAAAACTGGAAAAACTTCCTCACAATCATATATTTGTGGCTTAAAGCTTGGTACCTTTTTTGAGTGTGACGCAGTGCTAGGATACTTGACAGTTGACAAACATGTTTTCACTACATCATCCAACAGCTGTGTATAATACAGCTCAAGATCACAATGCAGTTGAACAAATAGCTGAAGCTAAGAACAAACCATCACTATCAGACAAAAAAAACCCTTCTACACTGTTAATAACAAAACAAAAGGACAAACTTAAAGTTTAATCTGTTTCTGATGAAAACTGGCTCTTCCCAGCACATGCTTTCTAGGGAGCACTGATTGGTCTCCATCACTTGAACAGGGGCATGTTGAATGAGAGCCCCAAATAAATGGCTGTCAGAGAGGGTAACTGGCAGCTAAGGAACTAAAACCTGACTGTCATCTTTGTAGTTATAAAGAATCATATCATCTCAATATTAATCAGTACTTTTTTTTTCATTTCAGGCATGTTAATAATGCTTACTAATACATTTTGAAGAATTCCTCTTTTTTTGAGCAAAGTTGCAAATTTTACCATTTTCAGAGCCAGTTTTAATTGAATCTTCATACAGTTCAAGTGACTGGTAACAGCTTCTACAGTTTAACCCGTCCTATGTGCACATGTAGAACAGAGTGCTGTGCAGTATTTGCCAAATCTAAGAAAATGGATCTGATGCTTAAATGAATGCCACATGTTACCCCCCACCCACCCTCCTTCCTCTGCAGAAATTCATGACATTCCTTTCACACTCCAAATACTTCAAGTACACTAACACAAAGCTGTCAAATTTCAGAAAATGCAGTTGCTCATACATTAGCTCTAACACTTCAATCATTGAGTGGGGTGTCAAGGAAAACTGTTTGCAATAAAGACCAGAAAATGTCTGCAGACACATATCTGTGTAAATTTTTTGCACCAAATGAAGGCTATTCTTTATCCAATTCATTCAGTTTCAAATGGATTAATATATACATTCTTACAGATTGAGTGGATCTACTGTTCATCAGAACAAGGTTGAGAATCCCTGCTGCTGAAGTCCGTCCACTGTAAATGGAAATGGTGACTAACATTTGAAAAATATTAGAAACCCTGCAAAGTAAAATAGAAAATTAATTTCAATTAGTTTTTCAATAAACTGACTAGTGCATGGAAATTATGGGAGAAGTTACATCTAATCTACACTCTTGGGAGTTAAAGAGTTAATTAAAGGGAACTAGCAAGACATTAAGCAGCAGTTATGTAATAGTGTGCATAGTTACTGTTAATAAAAAAAAAGGATCTATTGGTCAAGGAGGCTTGTACATACACTTAAAAAAATTTAACTTATTATGCCCCCCCCCCCTTACATTTGCACATACATGATGAAACTTTATGTCATAAGGGAGAAAAAGGGTTTGTCTGAAGTACTTACTTGTTCCCAGTTGAGGTGATTAGTGCCTGGCACAGATCTTTAGTGTAATGAGACATTTCTGTAAGAAATTCACTCTCTGTTTTTCTGGTGTCAAGTGAAGCTATGGTTGTGCTCTTGCAAAACAGGCTGTGCCTCTCAACAGCAATATCCCTAAGTCTGGTCAGCAGTAATCCCTGCAAATTCACACATTTGACTTACGTTTATTTTTTCAAGAGCAAAGGAAAAAGACACAATTCAAGTTAAAATCATTCAGTAGTTGCTATTATGATATTTAATTGCACCTGACATGACAAGTATAATCCCTTTATTCCCAGTGTTTCATATGAAGTTATATAATTATTATTAACTCACTGTTGTTAGGCTGAATGTATTCTGCAACTCAGCAGCTTGTGCCAAATCAATCTCCTTTGACCCTGTAATTAGTTAGCAAACACAAAACCAAAAATTATTAAAAGTAAGACACATTTAGGTTATTTACCCAAGGTCTAACCCAAACTGCAGTTTTATGCAAGTAGTGGGCCTCAGGAATTCTCCATAAGAGGGTTGATTTAATAAGCAAATGTCCTTCCACTGTTAACTTTCTGGCCTTTTAACACTGTTAAAATAAATTTTCAGATAAAAGATTTCACCAAATTGAAGATGGCTTAGAGGGCAGTTTTGTTAAACAATGGCTAAACTTGGTTTAATTAACCAGCCCTTGGTGTTCCCTACAGCACTGTAGAATGAGTACTTAGCTAACAATACTCAAATTGTAAAAAACTTGTATAAAGTATGCACTCCAAAATAGTTTAACATATTGGGCAAATTAAAAAGAGATACCAAAAGTCAAGAGATGTCCCCTTGGTTAAGATTTCAAGAGTTTACTTGTTGAATTTGTTGCTTCTTCTACTTCTCTGAATTCTTAAACTTTGAGAGCATTTTTCCTCAATTAAAAGCTTAAAAATGCTTTGGTCGCTTAAATAAAATATAGATTTTAGACCGTCTTTCATACAGTCAGTGTACTTCATGAAAATGTATTGAATTTTGTATTTTAAACGGCACCTCTATCTGCAGGTTTCTGACAGTTTTCAAGAAGAAGCTGAAAGACTTCAAGTGCTCCTTCCTCGGTGTTCTTTATGACATTGACAACTGATGACACCAAGCTGAAAAAAATTGTGGAGGTAAAATCTTCAGAAAGTTTTCATGAAAATATCTTTCATTTGATAATTATAGGCAATGCATAGCATTTATTAATTAAGATTTAAAGTCAAACATGTCACTAGTTTTTTGCTTCTCAGCAGGTATATACAAGGTGGTGCATTGCTGAAAGATTATGCGCTGAATGACACTAAATTTTCGATTGTGCAATCTAGTGGAAAATGTAAGATTTTTCAGCTGAAGGAGGGATTAAGAAGAAAAACAAACAAACCATTTCTAATTAGTATGGTGAGAGACAAATCAAAGTGCTGGAGAGGAAATGTTATTTTGTTTGTGTGTGTTATTTAGTCATCAGGTATCACTAGCTACTTTATAGTCTAGTCAAACCACTGCTTTATTTAAGACTGATTTGAATTAGTTCACCTTATTTTCCAGTCCCCTCTTCTCTTAGACTGCTCCAGCAATTGAAGAAGGACTTCAGGAGTCACTTGCAAAGAACAGAAAAAGGAAACTTAACAGCTATACACAGTCAGTCAACTTAACCATCAGGTATTACAATCATTACTGGTTTGAAAATGATTGTTTTGAAACCAGTTGAATGTTCCTGTTTTTTTTTTCCTATGATACAATATGAATCATGACCTGAAACTAACATTTAAGTACATTAAATTTATAACTAAAAAGAAATTGAATTGATTTAAAAACTTGTAATAAGAAAAAAATCTGAACCATAATATAGTTATACTAAGTGTATTACAATTAGATTTATCTACAAGTCTAATTACAAGTCTAATACAAAGAACTGCTGTATGGGTCTCACGACTGAGACCCAAACATTATAGTCCCATCTGGTGCAACCTAACTCAGGCAATAAGTATTTATAATAATATTAAGTAAAGGACAGGCACCATTTTCTTCCTTCTTTTCTTAGTTAGCATACCATGGAGCTGCATCCATGACCATACCCTTTTTCCTGCCCTACATGTTCTTGGGCCATGGCATACAAACCCCTTGTACTGGAACGTTTTTATGTTTTTCAAAGAAAGGAGAGGGCAGGGTCTTACAGTTCCTATGATAATATATTTTAAATGAATTCCTCAAACAATAATCAAACCCAAAAATAAAAGAAACAATACTTACAGGCATTAATAAATTCAGTGATAGTTCCTCTCAGTAAGTTGGGTGATGATGTAGCAATGTGTAGAAGAAAAGGAAGAGTTGATAACTGTTCTTCTCTTTCAACATTGGACTTTGGAGAAGTTGTGATACTTTCCTAAAAATTAATGACACAAAAAGACTTAAAACTAGTTTAATTTGACTACATATAAATGCTGTGGAGGAGTTGTGATACTTTCCTGAAAATCATTGACACTAAAAGACTTAAAACTAGTTTTGATAAACATATAAATGCTATGGAGAAGTTGTGATACTTTCCTAAAAATTATTGACATGAAAAGACTTAAAACTAGCTAGTTTAATTTGATAAACATATAGATAGATAGACGTTTATTGAGAAGAATACCTTAATAGCAGCTGGAAGCTGAATTGCAAAGGTGTACAAATTATGTAATAGAACTATACAATAAAATCAAACCTAAAAGGGAACTAATTTACATA